ATGCCCCACCTGTGCTCTAGCCCACCCAGGGCACCTCTCCTCAGCTCTGGGACAAGGGCTTGGCTTCACCACCAAACCTAGAGAAGTATCCCAATCAAATAGCTGGCAGCATTTACGATGGATGTGAGCAACATGACAGATTTATTGTGTGAGTGTGAGCATGAGCATTTGGCTTTTCAGAAGTGTTAACACAAAGGTTTCTCTGGAGAAGTGTTGGGGTGAATGAGAATGGCTCTTTGCAGGGGGAAAATATCATCCAAGGTCATCACCAGCTTGAGGGTACCAAGTATACCTTTTCTGCATGCCAGAACAGAGGGCAGTGTGACATCCTCCTCTGGAGAGAATTCTGCCTCTTGAAATGGAATGTGTACATCCTGGCTGATGTGAAGAAGTCTCCATGACACAGTCTGCTAGGTCAAAAGCCATACAGGCCCTTCAGGGCCAGTTCCCCTGCCAACCTTCTTTGAAAGTGGACTGTGAGTGACAGAAGATGTACTGAAGCCCCTTAGAGCTTTGCCCTGGGTCTGGCCTGGGACCAGGCTCTGTGGGTCAGATTGTGCGTTTGACCGTCTCATACCAATCATGAAAATAAGTCTTCTCCTTATGATGATTTGACTGGTGCCTCTTCTGTACCAGATTGCAGAGAGTTTCCGAGATGCAGAAGACTGTTGATCCAGTGCCTAACTTGGGTTATACGTGATTCCAGGCATGGAAGGCATAGAGAAGTAGGCTTGTTGTTTTGTCCTCAAGGAGCTGTACCCACAGGGTGAACCTGGGAAGAGGTGTGGAGAGGGTAGTACCTGTTGTTGAGTTAGGGAAGGCCCTTCAGTTTTAAGTAAAAGAAATCTTGGTGAATGTCAAGGTCAAGAGACAGTTTGGCATGGGATTTCTCTTGGGTGTTTGAACCCTGACTCTCCACACATTGGCCTGGTGACCTTAACTACCCTGAGCTTCAGTTTCCCTGTATGTAAATAGAAATAACGTGAATCTCCAGCTCATAAAGTTGTTGTGAGGACTAAGATCCATTAAATGCTTAGCACCATGCCTACCCCAGTAAATGTTATGTTAGTATTAGCAGTAACCAGTCTTGAAAATCGGGATCGGGTCTTCATTCCCCAAGGGTTGAGATTAAATACCAGAGAAATGACAAGGCAAGAAATGATGAGAGAGAGAGAGAGAGAGAGAGAGAGACAGACAGACAGACAGACAGACAGACAGACACATTCCAGAGAGGTGGGAGCCCAGAACTGGTGCCTGGGGGAGTGAATTGCCCCTTTATAGATTCCAGGTTTCCTTTCTTATCTTAACTCTTCCTCCTCTGATCTTGCCTAGTGGTGAACAGAAGACAGGAAGAGAACCGCAGAGTGGATCCTTAGCTTCACCCAAGGCTGTTACCTGGTTACTATCTATCCATTTCCTTTTCTCTGATAATCATTTACTTGTTCTTTGCCCTAGTCTCATTAGCCTCTCTGATTAAGGGAACCCTTACTGCTGTAAGGGGAAATGGCCAAGGACTGCTCTGGCTGCTTCAGACTAAGATTGGTGACGTGGGTCCAGCAGTTTGGGTTTCCCTTTTAGGAATGTTTTGGGTCAGTTGAAGGATCTGTGGCAAAAGTCTGGTTTGATAAGAACAGGCTATAGTCATCTAGGAGGTGGGAGCTTCTATGAGAGAAACAAAAAGACAGGAGTACTAGAACGAGATTA